AGCTTTAAATGAAATGTTTAAATTACATCCCAATGTGCGGCATCTATCTACCTAATGAACGGAGAAATGGATGAAGTTATTGAGTACCTCAATTTTGAAAATATTATGAATAACCTCAACCAATACTACACTAATCTCACTATAGTAACCATTTAATTGTTTATTTATTAAGATTATTCATGCAATAGATATTTCAGCTGGATAATCACTAAGACCCTACCTTGCGATTATTCTCATTCAAATGAAATTAAGTTTCATAATAATAGAAAAAGTGTATTCACTTTAAAATCGTAGAAAAAAACAATGTCAAAATAATGTGAGTTGCTCATCATAGTTGTACAACACAAATTTCAATAGTTTGTTTTTACTTCTATGCTTATTTGATTTTTCAGCTCGTTCTCCTCCTCCTCCTCCTCCTCCTCCTCCCTTCTCTCCCTCCCTCTCTTCGATTACTTGTCAAGTTGGAATTTTTATCAAAATAGTTAATGCATAAAATTGTTTTTTGTTTTGATTAATTCCCTAAACATTGATAGTGAGAAATAGTTTCACTTATTATTATTATTATTATTATTATTATTATTATTATTAGTAGTAGTAGTAGTAGTAGTAGTAGTAGTAGTAGTAGGAGGAGGAGGAGGAGGAGGAGGAGTACTATGATAATATTAATTGAAAAGTGTGATAATAAAGTGTTTAATCAAGTTGAAATGAGAAGAGAAACGAAAAGAAATTTTAATTACATAAAAAAAGTATCAGGTCAAATTTAATAGTTTACATCATCTTCGTTAGGCAAACAATAAAACTTGCGAAGCACTACACAGTTGTTACATGATGTACACTATGAAATAACAATCATGTCAAGCGTATCTATAGGAATAATAACTATGCGCTTATTAGTAACGATATTGTCTAATGTTATACTAAGAATCTATGACCAATAAAGTTTGTCGATGTTGTGAGTGTAGCAGTCATCAACTAATGATATCAGAAGATAGTTACACAATATCATAAATTGGGAGAGACTCTAATTTATGGACGAGCCAATCAGAAGCGTGTTAGAGATTTCAAGGTCACGGCGCCAACCTCAGTGCTTAATGCTAACGTACGATCGGTTCACACGGGATTTTGTCCAAAACGTGATAATTGAGCTGCTATCACAAATAAAACGGCGGGACTATATTTTGTGGACGAATCAATCAGGTATAAGATAATAGATCTCGGATTTTAACGCGAAAGTTTTTCATCCATTTGGCTAAATATATTCCTGGCATTATAGCTGATGTAAGTTTTTGATGAAAACCACTTATATAATTTCTAAGGTAAATTACGAAAATTATCGCGTACTGGATAATAAAAGCACATAGGCTTGGTTATGTGCAACGTGTCGTTAGCCAAAAGTAGCATTTTGTGCACCCAACAATCGGAGTGCACATAAACAATATTGAAGCTATGTGGTCGAGGCTGAAAAAGTTTTTGAGACTTTATCATGACTATTCTGTAGCCATATGGATGATTTCCTCTACTGCATCCATTAGGATTTTAAAACCGCTGAATCTCTTTCTAACCTTGACAAGTTTTTGAACCACGTATAAGAAGTGTATCCACTTTATTTCCTTGGTTTTGTATAATATATTTTTACTCTATACTGACTGTTTGCTGATTGGCTAATATTTCTCAAGGTTACTTAAGATTCGTTCAAAAGTCGTCCATAAATTAGAGTCTCGTCCATAAACTGATTAAAGTTCGAAGTGTAAACCGTCAGGGAGCACCAGTTCCCTCAAGATTACAGGTAAACCTTACTGACAAGTGCTAAATAGCACGAAACCCGGTTACAGGGTTTCCTGTTGACTACCTTCAACCACCATTCTATCCCAACATAGTGCACGCAATGCTGAGTCATCTAGACTAGTGGCAAAATCGCAACTTGGTCGATAGCGTTCAATCTGCACTAAGAAGCACTTGATACACATGACATTGATCATCAATCAGTGATCAATCAATTGTGATTAAAAGTGTAAAACTATTTGATGGTGAATCAAGATTGTAAAGATTAAGTTTTTATCACTAGGTCTAAAAACCTGAAGCTGGAGTTTTGATAAAGTTGTGAATGCGTACTAGTGAACGTTTCATTCCTAAGATGAAATATTTATCTAATACCATCAGTTTTTAAACGGTTGTTTAACTAAGATTAATTTGTAGTGTAAACTATAGAATTCAACAATTTCTATGAACACCATATTCATAATATGGTGAAATTATGAAAATACATTTAAAAAAATTCTTTTTACATTTTTCGTACTTTTCCAGTAGAAATCTGATGCTTCATTTAAGATAAGAAGATAAAGTATAAATGCTCTTAACAAAACATTTAGTTATATTTAAAGTTATAATTTTAAGGAATTCTGGAAATTGTTATCAAACTATACCAACCTAATAAGCTCATTATTAGGTGAATTAATCCCAAATTATACACTAAACTCAGTGGTTTAAATCCACGTAATAATCCGTTTCAAATGAACAAGAGCACTTGGGTCGTAGATTTGTTGATCAAATCATGATTTATTGACAAGATTTATGATCTAGGTAAACATAAAATGTTTGCCATTCGTCATTTCTTTTTATACGACGCGGGCATTTGTTAGGCAAATCCATTTTACGCATTCTTTTATAATCTTGTCATAAATGTGTTTTTAAAAATAAGATTTTTGGAGATAATCTAATACAAAGATTAAATAGTTTTATTTCATGAAGCCATTGATTAAATTCGTTTGGATTTCTTGAAAAGTAGAATAAGAACGTTTGGGATGTGTTTATCTAGATAAAATTAGCTGCAGCAGCATTATATATCAATACCTAAGATGACCATAGCTATTGAGGCATTTGATGTCATCGACAATATTATTTCACAGTTATGTAATATACCCTTGTGGGCCAGGGTAATGTTACATTGGTTTTCAGGAGAACCAGACACCATCCGGACTTTCACGTGACAATCCAAACAGTACAACTCAACCCCTCTTAACAGGAGAGCCAGGCATCATAAAGGCTTGAATTTTATAAACCGAACCGTATAGCTTAATCCCGCTTCACGGGAGAACCAGACACCGTATAGGCTTTAACGCTGCAATCTGAATAGTACAGCTCAATCCTGTGGCGCAACCACACAGGTACCAAGCACCGTTGGATGCCGACTCAGTGGTCTAGTTGGTTAAGCGCCTGGCGCGAGACTGACAAGTCCGGGTTCGAATCCCGCGAGGCGGGGTCGTGCATGCGCAATACTGAGGAGTCCCACAATAGGACGAAACGGCCGTCCAGTGCTTCCAGGTTTTCCATGGTGGTCTAGCTTCAATTGACTAATGATCTCAACTCTTGAAATTACTACAATCTCCACGAAACCCCTTCTGATACAATATTATTTATTTGAAATCTTCACTAGGTCTAGTGGTTTGATTATTGAAATCTTTGTATGGATTCTAAAATTGTGCTCATTTATTGGGATTTTTAAAAATCTGAATCAGTTACAAAAATGTTAATCTTACTACAATTATCTAACTCATACATTTTACAACTCTGATTTATTTTCGTTTCGTTTTTAACGTAAATTGACGACTGGTTATTGTTTTATTTTTAATTGACTTTTGAATGAAATTGAAATTAATTGTGTTTAACACAATCAAGGTAGATTGTTTTATGTTATTCTCTTGTCAATAAATGATTCCCATTTGAAACTATAAGATAATAAAAACATCTAGGAAAGAACAATATGCGAAATCATAATCAATTTGACAAGTGTATAATTTAACAGACTAGGTTTTTATATATTAATCCAATATATATAACCTATCAACAAATGCATAAACATTTATTTATGGCGCCATTCGAAACTGTTAGCAGAAAATTCAAAACATCATTTCAAATTGATAATAGTTATGAAAAAAAGTAATAAAAAATCGGAAAGAATTTGTATATCATCACTCATTCTTTCTGAATGCACTACATCTGCACTTTGTATCTATGTATATCGGTGTATACACAAACTCTGTGTTCAATATTCTACATGCATTTATAAGATTATTACTACTTATTTACTATTACCCCTCATGGAGTAGCATAGGCCTCTTACAAGCATTCTCCATCCAATCCTGTCCTGGGCAATCCTTTCCAGTTCTTCACCGTTGCTGTTCATTCTTTCATGTCCACTTCCAATGCCCGACATAATGTATTTTTCGACCTTCCACTTTTCTGTTTCCCTTCATGATTCCAAGCTAGCGTATGCCTCGTGATGCAGTTTGATGATTTCCTCATTATGTGTCCTATCCGCCAACTTTAGTATATTTTTCTAATTTCCTCTTCAGTTAGGATCTGATTTGTCCTTTCCCACAGAAGGTTGTTACTGTTAGTATCCGACCAATGGATATTTAGTATCTTATGTAGACAATTGTTTATAAATACTTGTACGTTTTTGTTGATGGTTGTAGTACCTCTCCAAGTTTCAGCTCCATACAATAGAACTATCTTGACATTCATATTGAAGATCCTAACTTTATTAATTATTTTGAGTTCCATATATTCTTCAACCGTAGATTTATTATCCTTACTTTACTAGTCCTTACCTTTATTTGAATTTTGATTGGTTGAAATAAAATATGATGATCTGCAATATGATTGGTCAATTTTATTAGAAAAAAATTCATTCATTGATTGGTTAATAAAACGAACAACACAATGAGACTATATGTTTGTATTTATGTGATGATAATCATCAGCTGATTGATTATTAATACATTTTATTATTCAGATTATTATTATTCATATAAATATAACCAATAAAATATCGTTTTCTTACAATAAACAAACTAACAAACAAACAAATAAAAAAGAAACTGAAATTAGCATTTCTACAAAATGAGTAGTATATTACTACCTAAATCTACTATTATTACTATTCATTTCATCTATTCATTATATCATAAATAGATAGTTTCTTTTCTTCAAAATTAATCATGAATCTTATTACATTTACATCTAAACAAATAATTTTCTATCTAATCTATTTATTCTATTGGATTATTTATCTTTTTACATTTTATCATAGTTTTCAATATTTCAATGATTTACCAGAAATTAAAATTTATGAAAATTTAACCATTGGTCAAGTCATTATAAAAGATATACGTTCATTACTTGGTATATCTAAATCAAATTATATTCAATTAAGTCCAAGTTCATTAACCCAATTTTTTCGTTTAGATAATATCAGTGGTAATATATATAGTATATCATCCATTGATTTAGAAACAAGTAATTTATGTAATATAGAAAAATCCTGTTGTCATAATTATCAATATGAACAATTATCTAATGAATTAGTTAATAATCAATATCCTATCAGTCAATTAAATGATAATGATGATGATACAGAAGAATTATCTAATGATTTGAATCATATCATTGATAATCATGTATTAAAACAAAAATATCAATGTAAATTAACAACATTTATATTAGCTTCAACAGATTATGATATGCAAATTTCACCAATTAGTAAATTACATATCAATATTATTGATTTAAATGATAATCCACCACAATTTAATATAGTTTCAGATGATTCAATGAATTCACAATCAAATTTAATATATTTATCATTTTTAGAAGGTTCATTAGGTGTTCATACAAAACATGATTTACCAAGAGCATTTGATGCAGATGTTTCACCAATAAATCGTGTCAAAAATTATTGGATTGAATGGGATGAAATAATTCATAATTCACATCAATCTTCATCTTTATCTACAATGACATATACAAATGATCAAATATGGTCGAAACTTGGACCATTTCGACTAATCTATACAAAGTCGATAGAGAATTTAGTCATTCAACTTGATGAAGAATTAGATCATGAAAAACAATCCATTTATAAATTACATTTAATTGCTCAAGATGGTGGAGATTTACGTGGATCCATACAATTAATTATTGAAGTAGATGATGTCAATGAATTTCCACCAATTTTTGTCGATTCAAATGATGTTAATAAATTGAAAGATCCACATCTATATTCATTATATACTAATCAAGAAATTTATAAAAAACAATATAGAATAAAAGAATCATTAGATATAGGTAGTCGTATTGGACAATTAAAAGCGATTGATTATGATTTATTAATGTCTAATGAAACAATGAATCAAATTACATATCATTTTAGTTCAAATCAATTGAATTGGGATGTAACACATATGTTTCATTTAGATTCACAATCTGGTATTTTAACTTTAAAACAATCATTAGATTATGAAAAAGTTAAAAATTATCGTTTAACTATCATAGCAAAAGATGGTCCAATCAAAGAGAAAGAAATAGATACTTCGAAATCATTATACCGTCCAATAACATCAACAATGAAGAAATCCTCACAAATCATTTATTCTTCTACAGCTTTAATTGATATTATTGTTCTTGATGTTAATGATAATTCACCAATTATCTTATTTGAAAATGATCATATACTAGAGAATAAATATAAGAATATAACCAATTTAAATCATGCCTTAGTTACAATGAATAAACCATATGAAATATGGATTAAAGAAAATATACCTAAATATACACCAATTGTATTTTTTAATGTCATTGATTATGATACCGGACAAAATAGTCGTATATCATGTCAATTATTAAATTTTACAGAACTATTTCATATACATCAATTAGCTGATTTATATAGAATTGAAACTAAATCATTATTAGATCGTGAATCTATAGATCAATATACTATTATCATCAAATGTAATGATATGGGTGAACCAATGTTATATAATATAAAAACTTTAATTATTCATTTAATTGATGTAAATGATACACCACCTAGTTTTCCATTAAATATTTATCATTATCATGTATTAGAAAATAGTTATCCTGGTACACCAGTTCAACCAATTCATAATCGATATCCAATCATGAATTTAGCTATAGATCCTGATTTGAATAGTACATTGATTTATCATTTAGAATCAATCGATATATTAAATAATCAATCAAATCATCATCATAATAATAAAGATAATGATTTCATTCAATCATCATCAACATCATCATCATTATTAGATTATCAATTATTTTCAATTAATCCAATCAATGGTCAAATATTTACAAAAGGTGAATTAGATCGTGAAAAAAAATCCTCTTTAGAATTATCTCTATGTGTTCATGATCAATTACATTTAACTTGTACAAAAATTTTAATTGATTTAGATGATATCAATGATAATCCACCACAATTTGAGCATAATCATTATATTATACATTTAGATGAAAATAAATTATATACTAAACCAATTATTATATTTATTGTATCTGATTTAGATTCAAATAATAAAGGTTTTAAATTTAATATACTATTTGATTCATTAAATAAACCGCCACAAATCATTTCAAAAAAACAACAAAATAATAATTCATTAAAACAATCAAATGATATTGAACATTTAAATGTTTCACAATTTGATCAATCAATAAATGATCATAAAAATTTAATTCAAAAATATTTTCTATTAAAAGAGAATGAATTATATTTACAAAATGTATTAGATAGAGAAGAATGTGCAAATTATCATTTTTATATACAAGTAAAAGATATACATTATGAATTATATAATAATAATCATACACAATATAGTTTAATAAGTCAAACAGAAATCTTTATTCATATCAATGATATCAATGATAATAAACCAATATTTCTATTTCCTAATATAACAACAATAGCTGGTAATCGATTAATTGTATCATGTCATGAAATGTTTGGTAATTCCATTGGTCATATTAAAGGTTATGATCCAGATTTAGGTATCAATGGTACAATTCTATATAATTTAATGATAACAACTACTCATATAAAACAATCATTATTTTATTTAGATAATAATTCTGGTGAATTATTTGTTAATACTAATCAATTAATTGATTATTGTGGTAAAATTATTACATTATTGATAATTATTGATGATCAAGGTCCAAAAATCAATAAACATTCAACAATTGAACGTTTATTGATTCAATTAGATGATATACCAATCAAAATGAAATCATCAATAGAATATAATCAACAATTTAAACAAAAATGGGAAATAAATTCTAATAGTATATCAAATTTAAATGTATTAACTAATACTAATAATAATATGAATAGTACATTTACAATTAAAACTATGCTTAGTATTACACTTGGAAGTTCAACTATCTTTTTAATTGGATTATTAATGACATCAATTATATTAATGATTTATAATAAATCAAAACATAGAAAAACTTTTTTTACATTAAAAAAATTACATTTCAAAGATAATACTATTTATAGTCAGCATAGTAACAATGGTAATAATAATAATAACAATAACAATAATAATAATAATAATACAAATGAAGATTTAATCTGTATTGATTGTAAACAGGGGGGATTAAATGAAATGTTATCCCCTACAAATACTACTACTAATAATAATGATAATAATGTTAATCAACATTCAAATGAATATATCACAGAAACAACTGAAAATTATCCAACTTGTATGTTGAAACCGAGATTGATCAGTGAAGGTGAATTTTCTACTGAACAAGGTATGTATTCGAGCTTACAATATATTGTCTAAATAATTTAGATTTGTAAAATGAATTTATCTATGAATAGTGAGAAAGTTTTTCAGATTATAGATACAGTTTACCATTCATTACATTATTGATGTTGTTTACATCAAGGCTACAATTAAGTAGCTTACAATTTAAACATCCTAAATGTTATCGATTTAGTTGATAAGTTCAGACAATCAACTCAGGATCCATATATACCAAAATTAACTGATCAGTTTCAATTGTTATCATTAGGAAAATATAAAAGATTTAAATCCTTCCAAATGGGTTATGTCAGTATTAATTTCAACTAACTAAATTTATTAATTTATGTGTATTTCAAGAATTAAATCAAAGAAATACAACATGGATTCATTGAATGTTGAAAATACACTCATTTAGGTTTTGTTTAAATTTGTGAAAGAAACCATTTGTATGGAGTATTATATATATATATTGAGATTAGATGGTGGTTGGAGATAGTCGATAAGAAACCCCGGACCTAGATTTCGTGCTACTTGGCACTCGACAGAAAGGTGTACCTGCAATCTTGAGGGAACTGGTACTCCCTGACGGATTCGCTCCCGTGTCACCCAGCTTCACAGTCAGAGACGTTACCACTGAGCTATCCGAGCCGCGACCGACCTCCTGTAGGACTGAAATGTAATATATATATGTAGGTTGGAACTATTTAGTAGCGCAAAAATAGTTAGTTGAGTGTATTTTACTAGTAAACAAACTTATCTTAATAATATCAACGTTAGTGAGACTGAAATATAATCTAGAACAAAATATATAAAGCGAATAGTTTTGTTTTCTATTAAATCCTCATTAGGCTGCACTATAATATACAGTAATATTCATATGTATATACGAAATTATTAAACCAGTCAATCTATTCTACTGTTATCACTGACTCATAAACTGCCTTGATGAGTTTAATATTTTCGTATATGCATATAAATATTACTGTATATTAGAGTAAAACCCGTTGTTGTTGTTGTTGTTGTTGTTGTTGTTGTTGTTGTTGATGATGATGATGATGATGATGATGATGATGATGATGATGATGATGATGATGATGATGATCATGATGATCATGATGATCATGATGATCATGATGATGATGATGATCATGATGATATAATCAAGAACAATAATGTTTGCTTTATATACTTTGTTCTAAATTACGATATGGGAATTTTTCAAAATTAGAAATATAATCAACAATATTATCGTCAACTAGTTAGTTTCATTCATTGAGATCACGAGCCAATTGAACCTAAACCATCATTGAAAACCTGGAAGCACTAAACGGTCGTTTCGTCCTATTGTGTGACTCTTCACCCTTAAGAGGGGTTTCCTATAGTTCTAGTGACAAGCTGTTACCAGCCCAGTTCAACTAGGTCACTTGTGAGATAGTAACTCACTGAAGACAATGATGGATGTGTTGCTCAATTTCATGGATTAGTTGAAGTTAGACATTAACACCGTTGGATGCCGAACGGCTCAGTGGTCTAGTTGGTTAAGCGCCTGCCGCGAGACTGATAGGTCCTGGGTTCGAATCTCGCGAGGTGCGGGATCGTGGATGCGCACTGCTGAGGAGTCCAGTAATAGGGCTAAACGGCCGTCCAATGCTTCCAGGTTTTCCATGGTGATCTAGCTTCAATTGACTCATGATTTCAACCAGTGAAATTTCTAAAATCTCCACAAAAACCTTTCTGAAAATATTTTAATATTAAGCTTTACACTTAATTTTAACCTAATTTCTAATCTGAAACCATAATATTAAATCATATTATTAATTACTCATTAATAAGTAGTGCATTTTGATTGGTTGAATAGGTTAAGCGTATCAAGGTTGTTTAATGAATTATTTAAGCTCACTACGCTTATATCATTTTGAGATGGTGAAGATCTGTAGCTTAGATGAATGATTTTAGTGAAGTTTTATTCTCTGAGATGGATGGTTTAGTCGTGGAACTTTCATCAATCATCTGGACGACATCATCAGCACAAACTTCAAATAGAATTACTTATGTTCATCCTCATGCTTCAGCTTTACTTAGTATCCATATTACCTTAGAAAACTTTCCCATTTTTTGTTGTTGTTGTTGTATAGTTTACTTTAATGGTACTTTATATTAACTACAAGAAAATGAACGCCTTCAGATTGCATTTTGAATGAAAACAGTCTAAATGATTAATGAGTTAATTCATCAAAAGTTTTAGACTTTAATTGACTTATTAAGTATTTCATTGTATAATGTAAATATAAAACATAGTTGTTGTTGTTGTTGTTTTATCTTTTGAATTGTTTGACTGGTATTTTAGTTGGACCAATTTCTTTCAGGTTGTCTCTATCCTGGGTAACATGATTGTCAAAACAACAACAACAAAAAAAACACCATAAATTAGATCAGGAATTCGGTTCATATCGTTCAATCATATTCAACATATTTATCAAGTTAATCTTCACATCGTTTAGTATTTACCTAAAATGCAATAATGAATAACGTCAGAATATTGAACCTGTGTTTATTCTAATTTGAATGCGTCAGTCGGATGTAATTGCTAATGGCTAATAGGACATAGTAGTTTAGTTAATAATGCGTTGGTATTTGAAGTGAAAGATAATAGATTCAAATCTTAATGCGAATATTAGCATAGATAAAGGTACATTCAACAAGCCAGTTGCAAATAGGAAGGAAAGCGTATGATGAATGTCACAATGAACAATTATATAAATTTAATTCTTTTTTAAAAAAAACAACTTATGACTAAATGGTAATATAGTGGGAGTCCGCTCCGAATAAATATATACCAAAAGAGAATAACCAATTGAAGTTTTTTGCATCAACAACGAGATCATCCTGTTTAGGAAACCCAGAAAATTCCTCGGAAAAAGCTCAAAAGGATCCTAAAAACACTGGGAAGCATTTTATCCAGTCAGTATTGAATGAAAGTTACCCAGAAGCATCGAGAAAATGAAGAGTCATGCGTTACATTTCTCGTTAGATGATTACCTATCCTGCTACTATCTTTAGAAGAGTTCCAGAACGTTCCAATAGCCAAAGACTGTCTAATATACTATATGTACCCTAGATTTTCTGTATATAAACTGAATTTAGAGTACCTATAACTATTTACAATAATATTAATTTTAATGTTTATTGCAACAGTTGAGATCGTGAGTCAAATGAAGCTAGATCACCATGGGAAACCTGGAAGCATTGGACGGCCGTTTAGCCCTATTACTGGACTCCTCAGTATTGCGCATCCACGACACCGCCTCGCGGGATTCGAACCCGGGACCTATCAGTCTCGCGGCAGGCGCCTAGCCAACTAGACCACTGAGCCGTTCGGCATCCAACGGTGTTAATGTCTAACTTCAACTAATCCATGAAATTGAGCAACACATCCACCACTGTCATCAGTGAGTTACTATCTCACAAGTGACCTAGTTGAACTGGGCTGGTAACGGCTTCTCACTAGAACTGCAGGATTTACCTCGTGATTTTACAAGAAAATTAGAAAGACCAACCACTATGCATTTATTCACTTCACATAGTTCACATTGCGTACTGACGCTAATCATGTGATCACAGAATATCCAGACACAATCGGACATCAATTTCATCCAGTTGTGTCATTCTACAACAATAAGATTTCACCACCCGACCAAGGATCGAACTCAGTTCTTTCAGATATCATTATGCTGTCTTAAAACTTTAAACGATTGAGCTAATATCCAATAATTTACAAGTTTAACTTCTAGTCAGAATAAAAACTAAAAAAATTTCAAAGATGGATTTTGGCTAGCAGTGGAATCCAGAACGCGCATCTCGTCTTATTTGGGACTCTTCAGCTGGATGTACCTTCGTCTCAGAGTTAATGTTCACTCTAAGACTAGAAACCAGTATCGTTCGCTTCAAACGCCATCTTATTACCACTTAGCTAGTGAGTCCTGATAGCCACCTGCTTGTGCAGGTGGGGTGAAGATTAAATTCACTTGATGTTGATGTTGTACCTTCCCATTGTTATTTAGGACTGCAATTGATCACTCTTGTTGGTATATGTGTATCCTGTGCAGATTACCTCGATATTGCCTTAAGTCATAAGCCTTATAACCAAAGATGGATAGTAGTGGAATCCAGGACACACGTTTCGTTCTACTTGGGACTCGTCAGCTTTATGTACCTCCATCTCAGATTTGTTTATAAAGCTTGTGACTTAAGAATAAATCGAGGCAATCTGTACAGGATATACACATACTAATAAGAGACTGATCAATTTTAGTCCTAAATAACAACGGGAAGATACAAGTAAAACAACACCAAATGAATTTAAAAAGAATTTCATCTGAATATAGTCACCTTCAGAATAGTAGTAGTAGTAGTAGTAGTAGTAGCTAATGTTTAATCTGATTCTTTCATTTCCCTAATCATGTTTGATTCTTTTTTCCTTCTATATTATTATTGTAAATATTCCAATGAAAACAATCTAATTTACCCTTACAAATATTTGTCTATTAACTACATCTTATTATGTATGGTAGAAATGTATATAACCTGATATTCTATTATGAATAATAATTGTGTTGATAGGGTAACATAAAATTCTGTGTACAGGTGTATGTCTATATAAGTCTTCTTTCTTATTGAACAATGTATGTTATTGAAATTTTTCATCAAGGATACACAACATGTATCTATGATAGATTATGATTATTATTCATATTAGTATGTGTTCAGGTGTTCCTATTAGACAGATGCTTTTGTACTGACATTTTCATACAAAGAAATTGATTAACACCTATGTATATATGGAGAAAGAGAGAGAGAGAGATGTACATTTTAGAATTAGTGTCGATTTTCATTTACAGTGACCTACTATTTATGTGTATACATGTGTAGATGTAGTTGTATTCTACTTTTAATACTACTACTAGTACTGGTACTACTACTACTACTTCATCACATATAACAAAA